TCCAGGACCATGATTATGACCAGGTTCATGCTTGGCATAGCACCTGTATCAACCCCCAGTGCATGATCTCAAGGTGGATGTTTTGAAGTCCACCGCAAATCGTCCCAACTTCGTGTTTTCGGAAAGTGCAACGGCCTTGAGAGGTAATGCTTATTTTATTTTGTTGACCTGGTTGCAGCTGGGTTCGAACACAGGCCAGTATTTTGCCAGTTCATGAGCGTACCAACTGAGCTAGGCTCATTTGCTCAATTGATTTCCAAGTCAAGATCTACGATAAAAACAAAGGTGGACCCCAGGAACCATTGCGGCCAGCTCAGGAATTCACTGATCCTTTCCCCCATCATCCGCTGGCCCTGGAGGAATGTATGCGGGATGGTACTTTATCCTAATAATTCATCTGCTTCTGAGCTTTTTCTAGCATAGACTTTACAACTACAGCCTTACGGAAGGACAGCCATGGGTCCCGGTGGCCCCCGGTCCAAATTGGCAATCTGTTCTTTCCTCCCAGGCTACCGACAGTATATTTTCTCCTTCAGTAGGCCCTGCACAGTCAATCCCCTGAGACCCAGGGCAATCAATGCTGCCAGCGCCATGAGTTTCTAAATGATGGCACGCAGAATTTGATGTAAAAAAAGATTTATCAATGGGACGATGGACCCGGTTTCCGCAGGTGCCCCTCCCCACCAATAGATGGAGCAGGCCGACAGACAAGCCCTCAATTCTGGATAAACAGGTCACATTTCCCTGACAAGGCCTAAACGTGCCGCAGTCAGGGCCTTGCCCTTTATACTTCTATCCAGACGGTCATGAAAGGAGGGTAGTTGTACACGGCATCCGACGGAATATATTCCCCATCCCTCGTCCACATTTCTGTTACCCGTTGCCTGCCATTGCCTGCGTGTATACTTGCCAACCTTACCTGCAATTGCCTGCGTGTATACTTGCCAACCTTACCTGCCATTGCTTGCGTGTATACTTGCCATCCCTGCCCTCTCTCCCGTAAACCCCACACCCACCCTCCTCCCAGCGCCCACATTGCTGTCACCCACCACCCACCCACCCAGCCACCCACCTACCCCCTAGCCCCGTTGGTATTCTCAGCTTTTCTCACCTGCTCGATCACCCCTTTCAAGACCAGAGTGTCGAAAAACCTTATCACCATAGTCGCTCCCACGCCGGCGCCAACTGCGACGAGGCTATCCCGCAACAAGGGATCGTGCCACAGCCCGGACGTCTGTACCCACTCTGCCAGCGCCATCGCGCGGGGCACCGCCACTATGCGCGGGGGACGATAGAGCATGCCGCCCGAAAATGCCGCACACGTTCCGCTGCGCCAACTTCGGCCTTCGCCCCGCCAACTTCGGTCTTCGCCCTGCTCACCACCCCCGATCTCCGTCCTTGGAGAAACACCTCCATGCCCCGCTGCTTCCCTCCTCCTCTGCGCATTCACCAGCCAGACAGGTACAGGTCCCCTGTTTATTGTTGAGCCGCCCAACGAACGATAGGATGATCGACGGCCACATCGCATGCCACGTGTCAAGCCACCCAGCCCGCGTCCCTGGAGGAACGTCCCTGCATTTCCACTCAAGCTGTAGAGTACTTTCATAACTTTCGCGAGCGCGGCTTTGCTCTCCTCGGATATCGAAAATGCGCCGCAACCTTTCCACCCCTGGCAGAGCCCATCTTGCCCGACGACATGCGAACAGGAAGTGTCAATCAGCCGGCCAACTTGACGTACAAAATTGTTGTTTGCTCCTCCAGGCAGACCACCACGATCGCTAGATCTGCTTTTCGTCTTCTTCTTCTTCGGCCTCCTGCGTCCTCCGCTGCACAGTCCTTTATGCACCAGCCCGCTGAACGATAGCGTCGATCGCGATACTTCGCCATGGGATAAAAAACAAGAGGTATACGGACAACAGCAATCTAGGTTGCTGTACCCGACGATACCGAGGGCCGCAACCTTCACCCTCCCTCTTCCTTCACAAGAGAAGCGAAGCGAAGAGACGTTGGGAACGTCTCTCACCCCTCCCCGGATCGCTGCAACACGGCTATCTACCGCATGCCGAGCAGTTCTTGCACAATTGGCCGACCGGCCGCTTGTACCGGTCTCACGTGCTTTGACAAAATGCGGTCCACGCGCAACAGTCGCCATCTGACTGGATCGTAGAAGGTGACACTAGCACGACGCAGCAGGCTCCTTTCTCCGCTCTCCCGCCACTACCCGCCACTACCCGCCACTTCCACAGCCTCCCACGTCCTCGAAGACAAACGAAAAAATAAAGATGAAAAGAAAAGGGAAAGCACCACCTACGGAAAGTACCACCTAAGGGGACATCCGTTAAAATTGGAACGATACAGAGAAGGCCCCTGCGCAACGATGACACACGCATAAATCGAGAAAAAAAAAGGTACTTTCCATCCCCCACCCGCCCCTCGCCCCTTGCTTCACAAAAGGCTTTGCGCTGGCGGTGGCATCATGTTTCCGCGAATAGGGGACGAGAAAAACAGGAACAGTACGGCCCCGGCGGATGGGAATGTGGTCTGTTCCCTTTCTGTGTGCACTGGAGAAGAGAAGGTAGCTTTGCTTTTTTTTTTTTTCTTTTTTCTTTTTTCTTTTCTTTTTTTTTTGAGAAGGTAGCTTTTCCGCCTGTGGAATTGCGTGTATCAAGGCGCGGGGAGAGAATTGCTTTGCTTTTGAGCAGGTGGTGTTCTGTCCTCACCGTATAATTTCACAGCTGCCGTCGCTTTCCTAAGCGGGAAAAGATGGACGCTCTACGGCAGTCCTCTTGCATCACGATCTGCTTCGCAGAGTTGTAAGCGACCACCTCACCCGCTCTGGATAATACAATCCGTTTCACGTGGCGCTATTCGTCTCCAATGCATTCGTTAGCAGGGGAAGGGAGGAACTAGTGTGTAGCAGCAGGGATCTGGCGCCGATTAAGAGGTTCCCCCCTCTCTCCAGTTGTCTGCTCAGTCAATCCCTGCTGGCAGGAACCTTATACAATCCTGTTTGTTACATCCCAAATTCAGTTTGTATATGGGAGGCTGGACCCGTTTTCCAGCAGGTGCTGCTCCCCACCAATAGATGCAGCCTCTCCCCAGGTGCTAGTGGTGTCTGCTCTTATCAGCACCACTACTACTGGCGGGGGCAAAAATAAAATGAAATTGAGTAGTCCCTTTCAAATTTCAACTTGTGCACCCCGGAGCACGGTTCCACTAGCAGAGGAGTAAAGTAAACTGTGTCCCACAAACACCTTTGGGACATCTGCGGGACATCGCCCGACCACTGATGCAGGAGAATCGGATGGCAGCAAAATTGAGAGGGATTTATATTCTGAAGTGGTGTTTTTTTTTTTTTTTTGTGCTTTTTTTTTGTTTTTTGTAATGACCCGCCAAAAACACAGACTGAGAACAGGGATTTGCCGCTGGAATGACTGCCTTGCTGAGATTCCCGCTTTCTGCTGTGATTTCCATGTCTGTGTGTGTGTGAGTGCCTGCTGGTTTGCATGCCTGTCTGAGTGCTTGTCGGCTGAGAGTGTGTGTGACCCGCAAGGGTACTTGTTGGTTGAAAGGCCCTGCAGGGCCGGTACTTACCTGTGGTCGTGACTTTGAGGGTTGCAGCGGGGAAAACACTCGAGTAGCGGGGGTAGGCCAGCAGATGGGAAAAACACTCAAGTAGCAGGTAGGCTGGTACCACTGAAGTGTTGGTAGAAGTGTCGGGTACTGGAGGCCGAGCAGAAGAAGACAAAAAGTTGGCATTTTAGAGGCCCAGTAGCAGTAGGTCAGAACTGAGATCTCCTATGGCAAGGTTCCAGGGGCATAGGTGCAGTGAGGCTAAGGGGCGGGTTACTTTCGGTCTGATGGCGGTCTATGTCGTGCAGCATAAGGCAGATGGTATGCGCGGTGCATCTCAGGCCGTCCGACCCGCCCGTTCTAGTGACGGCGGTTCGGGAGGGGTCCGCTCGTGAGGGTTGCGATTTCTATGGGGCGGACCTCCGGGTGGGGACGCGTGGTGACTGACGTCGCGCGTTATGGTTAGGCTCCGTAATTCCAGAGGCTCAGCGGTTGCCGCGTCGTCTGCAATTTCTGCACGGCGTGTGGGGCCAATACGGGGCTATGGAATTCCACGGCACCACCATGAGTTGGTGGTATGGGAGGAGGAGATGGAAGGGAGGGAAATTGGTAGCGATAACGACGAAGCCGGGGGATATGAAATATTGTGTGTTATACGTAGTCGGGTAGTCGGGGCCCCTCGGGTCATTGGTTATGGCGCGGTGGAAGTCCCTGGGACACAGTCGGTCGTTCTCGGTTAGACACGGGAATTGCGGATTTCTCAAATTCCCCTGCCGCCTAAGTTGTTCTTCATCCCAGTATTCTCGGTACTCTGGGTCCCGCAATTTCTCCCGATCCGCGATGTACGACATCTTGTCATTCCAGCGGATTGTTATCTGTAGCGTAGTGGGAACCCTCCGCACACATCCGATCGTGCTTCGATTAACAAGGGAATTTCCGGGTATGGTGGCGGAAATTCCTATTGGTTTAAATTCCGTACTTTATCCCGATACGGGAGGTGCCAAGTTTATCAGTGATCGCGAATCGCCCGCGTGTGGACACGTGTAGGCCGCGTTGATCAGATCGCGCTTACACGTTGTAGGGCCAGACCCCGGTAGACTTTCGAGCCTTAGTCGACCCCACTGCGGGTCCCAGTTGGCTCGGCCCGCCCACGCTCATGCTTAGGGCACGGGCCATTCGTCCCAGGGTCACCCCCACCTAGTGCTTTGAGATGGATGGGGGTGCATCGCGCGAGAGAGCTTTGACATTGGGGATGTAGCTCAGCCCTCACGCCGGGTGGCAGTCTCGCTGGTCATTCGACAACGCTGATTTTTTTTTATTCTTGGTTGTGTTTTCAAGCAATTGCTCCTTCCAATAAGCAGGCAGTCAAGGGGTTCTTTGAGAGTTTTATTCTTTTGTGCGCAGGCTAAGCGTCATCCTTAGGCCGCGCACCATTTCCCTAAGCATTGTGATCCTACGGCGTCATCGGGGTGCGGTGATGTCGTCCTTCCCCTTGCCTCTACGCACCCATCGGGTCTCGTACATCTCATTCAACCCTATTGACGCAGACCCCTTAGTCTTTTCGGGACCTTTACATGCATGCACACACAACTTCACATTTCTCTCGGCCATATTGCATTTCACTCTCTCCTTTACACTCCAAGTCTCAAATGCAAAGGTCATTTCCATGGATTGACTTTATGCTAAGGGTCCCGTAGCCCCTTTGCCCCTCTTCCCTTTTCCTTTTGCCTCCCGGTTCCTCCCGGCCCTATCCCGCTCAAGGCATCTCTAGCCTTCACTTACCTGCACAGTCCCACACAAAGCAAAAATCCATACAATCCTCCATTGGGGTCAACACATAGCCCTTCCCACATGCCTATCTTTCCATGTTCTTTGGGTGCTTTTTGTTCCCTCTCTTTTGCTCAATCAGCCCATCCTCTTCTCATAGTCATGCAGACGGGCAAATGGTTGAGTCAAACTGACCTTGCTTCAACTTATATTTTCTCTCGGATTCCGCCTCTTTCCCACTCTTTCAAACGTCCTTTCCTTTGCCTTCTTGGTGGCACAAGGACCGGCTACCCTTCCCTTGCCCTCTTTTTCCACCAAGTGAGGTCTGATTTCTTTTACCGTTCGCACCCTGGCACTGCTGGCAGTGTAACAAGTGAGGGGAGAAGGGTTAGTCATATGCCAAGTGAGAGGAAGGGAGAAAAGGGGCAAGGGGAAGAGGATAGAAAGAGAGAAAGAGTGGGAGAGAGAGAGAGAGAGAGAGAGAGAGAGAGAGAGAGAGAGAGAGAGAGAGAGAGAGAGAGAGAGAGAGAGAGAGAGAGAAGAGAAGAGACCTCTAATCCTAATCAAATCATCTCCCCGTAGTAGCAGCCAAATGCCGGTCACCCATCCCATGGTAGTAGCAGCCAAATGTCGGTCACCCATCCCAAAGCGAGAGATCAACTAAGTATGAAGTGGGACACTTCATCATACATGAACTTGACAATGGGAAGATTGAACTAGCGAAAAGCTCATGCACATAGAGGAAAGATCAACTAAGTATGAGCCGGAACATCACAACACACATGAACTTGACAATGAGAAAATTGAACTAGTGGAAAGCGTATGCACATATAGGAAAGATCAACTAAGTATGAATCAGAACATCACAACACACATGAACTTGACAATGAGAAGATGGAACTAGTGGAAAGCACATGCACATAGAGGAACCGGAACATCACAACACACGTGAACTTGACAATGAGAAGATTGAACTAGTGGAAAGCACATGCACATAGAGGAAAGATCAACTAAGTATGAACCGGAACATCACAAAACCCATGAATTTTGACAATGAGAAGATTGAACTAGTGAAAAGGCCATGCACATGGAGGAAAGATCAACTAAGTATGAACCGGAACATCACAACACTCATGAACTTGACAATGATAAAATTTGAACTAGTGAAAGGCACATGCACATAGAGGAAAGATCAACTAAGTATGAACCGGAACATCACATCACACATGAACTTGACAATGAGAAGATTGAACTAGTGGAAAGTACATACACATAGAGGGAAGATCAACTAAGTGTGAACCGGAACATCACAACACACGTGAACTTGACAATGAGGAGATTGAACTAGTGAAAGGCACATGCACATAGAGAAAAAATCAACTAAGTGTGAACCGGAACATCACAGCACACATGAACTTGACAATGAGGAGATTGAACTAGTGAAAGACGCATGCACATAGAGGAAAGATCAACTAAGTATGAACCGGAACATCACTACATACATGAACTTGACAATGAGAAGATTGAACTAGTTTGAACTAGTGAAAAGGCACATGCACATAGAGGAAATATCAACTAAGTATGAGCCAGAACATCACTACATACATGAACTTGACAATGAGGAGATTGAACTAGTGAAAGACACATGCACATAGAGGAAAGATCAACTAAGTATGAGCCGGAACATCACTACATACATGAACTTGACAATGAGGAGATTGAACTAGTGAAATGCACATGCACATAGAGGGAAGATCAACTAAGTGTGAACCGGAACATCACATCACACATGAACTCGACAATGAGAAGATTGAAC